AAAGCGTTAGATCCACTCTTCTACATCTTTGCCCACCCTAACCCCAACCCTTCCCCACTCACATCGTCAAAATGACACAACGAGATATGACATAAGGTGTCTAAAATGAACAAAGCTTAGTTAAGGTGTGTAAGTGAAATTTGATGTCAACTTTAGGCGGCACCAATGGGTTAAGCCTTAATAATATGAGCATGATCTTCAAATCGAGCATCTAATCATCTATCCGTATTGACATCACAACTACTGAGCGAGAATGTGATAAGCCAACATGAATGTATATAGCTATTTTTCCGATCTGTAACCAAGTAAAACATTATAGGTATATGGATATCTCAGTCCTAAATCAAATCTTTGTTTTACTGAAGTAAAGATCTTACTCCTTATATTCTTCGTTCTATCACAATGATTCGTCTTTCGAAGTCACAAAGAGATTATAGATTTATTTAAATGGTAGCTAAAACAGTAAGCCCAAGAATATAAGAACAACTAATATTGATAAATAAATTCGTGTTTGCTCAATGAACGAGATAGGCTATGACTTATTTTTCTTTGACTTCATAATTTCTGATAAATTTTCACACAGTGAAAACTTTTAGCAATAATTAAAAGTTGCATACATTCAAGACAACTAGCTATCCACAGTTCTTGATAGAACACTAAAACAAGATGGATAACAATCTTCATAGTTTGTTGTATAAGTTTGATTGACCATATATACTAGTACTAATTATAATGGCATCCAAAGTGCATCTAACATCTGACATAGTTGCGGAGATTGCAAGAAAAAACAGTATTTGCTTATAGACATAGCTCAAGGATTATTTTTCAAAGAAACATGTTGTTATTGCAAGAACAAGCAGATGACAGTGCTGTCGTCTCTCTTGCTGTTTGGAAACTTCTGTTCCCATGCATCTAAAGAAGCTTGTACTACTGCCTCTGCCGCTGCTGCTGCATTATTTGCTGCACACACTATGGAAACGACTTGATCGTTGCTCAGCACATCCCATACCTAGTTTTATTTAAAATGAAAATAAACATGTCAAGTCTTGTAGAAACAGAACAAAATATACTAGTACAAAGTTGTAAATAGGCTTACCCCATCAGTTGCTAGGACAAGAAATTGGTCATTTGGTGAAATGTGGTGATAAGAGACATCAGGCTTGGAGATTATGCCATAGTTTTTCAGCATGAAATCTCCAAAAGCTCGCGACATGGCCAATCCAGGAACATCTTCATGTGGTAACCACACTCTCTGTATATGTAGTTCTTCCTTCAATGCAAGAACTCTACCATCACAGTTCCTTATTCTTTCTGCTTCAGCTGTATGCATCAAACACTTTACGATTAGGCACAATTTGGAACTCAAGTACAAGTGTGTCATGTCAATATTACGAAAAGAAGTCTTACAAGGCAGGCTAGGCTTCAAATCAGTAGTTAACTGAACAGCCTCAATTACTCCCTCCTCTGTCTTTCTTCCTAGTACAGCACGAGAATCACCAAGATTCGCGATAATCAAATCATCATCCTATAACCAATGAAATTCTAATTAGATTCTCCATTCTCCAAACTACAAAATGAAATTTTTGATTTTTTAATGATCAAAGAAGAACTTTTTTTTCGTTACCTGTCTTATAGCAACGACAGCAGTTGTTCCACTACATGAACAATCCAATTTCTCAAGACTTTTAATATCTTTATCCATCACCTTAAATGAATTCAAACACGCGTCTTTCCACTTATCAAAATTCTTGTTCTTCACTAATTCCTCATCAACATGTTTAACATTTTGTTTCGGAGAAGTAATCTTTGGCAAAGAAAGTATACACTTCAGCAGCAAAGATGGCAACTTATTCATAACAAATTTACTAACTACTTGTCCATTTTTCCCATGCCCATCGAAAACTCCACCAAAAACTCCATTTTCTACACCATATCCCTGCCATAAAAAGGAAAGTTTCCATCTTTAATACACCCCATGTGATGAAAAAGGTACAATATACAAATACGACTCTTACCTTGACATCAGCTGACAACTATGAACTTTAACTACTGATATGCAATGTATTATGTCATGTAGGACACGTGTTTCTACTTGTTCAATTTTATTTAAGTTTTTATTTGTACAGACTCAAAGTTGAAGGGCATAGTTATCGACTGAAACCTAGTTAAGGGTCATGGTTATGCATTATGTCAATGAAAAACTAAGTAAACATGTTGCAAAATGACAAACCTGATAGAGAATAGCAGAATCTTGATTGATTCCTTTATTTCCTTGTTGAGAAAAAACAGAACCAATTACACATTGGTTCTCGTTAATGTTGTTATCATCATAATGAACAACATTTTCATTACCAAAATCAACAGGTTGAATCTCAAAAGATGTCGATGATATACAACTAACGAGTCCACATATACCCATATTATTATCGGCTGCTCTTTGTTTTTTTTGTTTGTGGTTCCTACAGTATCATGTATATATATATATAAAGGAATATTAGAGCTTTCAAAAGAGTTGAAAATGGGATTAATAAATTGAATAAAGAGTAAAATAATGTAGTAATGGCTCAGAGAGGATTCCAAAAAGTCATTGAGATGCAATAGTAGACTTGTTAATTGTATTTTATTGTTGTACATTACCCTAAGGTTCATTTCAAGGGGCAATTGAGTTATTTTTTTGTAGAATCTCCACACGCAAATTTTAATTAATGTTATAAATTACACGTAGGTTTTGCTGGCCCCAACTTGATGTTTATGAAAATTATTGTTACATTGCTTGAAAAAATAGTTTACTTAGTTAGCTGGCTCTGGTTAATTATGAGTTATACTTTGTATAAATCTAGTATCTCAGTTGGTTGACTATCTAAATTCCATCTTATTGGTGAGGATTCGATTCTCCACATTGTAATCCCCTCTCATTTTCACTTCCCCTATTCCTAATTTGAAGAAAAAAGAAGCTATTCTTTAACTTCATTTTTTTCGAAATTGAATGAAGATTTTTTTAAAAAAATAAAAAAAGAGAAGTATTGAAAATATTCTTGAACTTGTTATAAATTATTAATTTCAACTATTCATAACCTTAAAAACACTATTCTACTTGATTAACTGAACTTACATACATTCATGATTTGCTACGTGACATAATAACTGGGTTTCTTTTTTAACTCTTGTAGAAACATGAGATACTTGATAAAAAGTACCCCTAAACTTGACGAAAAGTTAGAAGTGTATTTCACTCATACTGCAAGATCAGAAGTGTATTTAAGTTCAGTTAGTTAAGTAAAAAAATATTTTTAAGATTGTATGAAACTAATAATTAATTCGAACCAAATTTAAAAATGTTTCAATACATTTCTCTTTTAATAATAATAATAATAATAATAATAATAATAATAGGGGTACAGAGGGCAAGGGGAAATGATGAAGTGGATTACGAGGTGGAAAATAAAATTACTATCAACAAAGTAAAAATTAAACAGTAAATCAATTAAACTATTAAAATTTTTGCAACCAATATATTGAAGTACTAATAATGACTCAGCTACACTAGTTGAGGACGTTTGGCACACAACTCATCCACTCCCAACGAATACATTGAGAAAAAGAAGACAAAAACGGTCAAGTAAATAGTAAGTCAACCCTAGGCAAATATAATTATGAATAACGATACATATAATGGTGTTTATTAAGGTTTTTTAAGATGTTAATCCAATGAATTATTGCGTAACCTGCTGGATGTTGACTTCTTAATTAGAACCATTTGTTTTTAATGTTTTTTTTTTAAAAAAAAAAATCTCATTCCAACATGTAAGGATCTGGTCATGTAATTGTTTGTGTTTAGGAATAAAAAATATGCACCACTAACGTAATAATATGTATTCCGTTCTTTATAATTAGATATCTTGAATTTAAGTTTTAAAAATGAAATCACCTATTAATATGAAGCGCTTTTTACATACCAAATAAATTTTTCTACCTAAATTTAAATTAATGGAGTTTTAAAACTATATTATAAACCTACCCCAAATGATTGGAGGAGCCCAAGGGTTTGGAAATGATATTTTCGAAAAGGAAAAATAAATATATAAAATACATGAAGGATGCCTTTTCAAAACATTGAAAACTTATTTGAAACTGTTATTTGTAGTTTTGATGATTTGACAAACTTGGGAACCTTGTAAAGGTACCAGTTTCTTAATTGACTATTGTAGGGTTCTTGCTTGAGTATTGTAGATGAAACAAATTAAGGGACCTAGTAGAGGTACCAGGCTCTCATGATGAGGAGTCAGTTGATTGCCAGCTGGAGACGGTACAGAAAGTAGGTGCACACTTCCCGATGGCGTCAGAAAGTGTGACTTTTCCAGCCAATGACAAAGAGGTTTAGGAAAGTGACTTGCCCATATAAAAGACACTTTCCTAAACATTTTGTGCAACTTTTGCAAATTGATAAAAACTTTTCAAGAACTCTTGCAAAGGCTACTACAAAGCAAAGACAGAATTATTCCAAGAACAACAGCAATATCTGGAGTTTTTCGTCTAGTTGTTTAGGAATGCATTCTCTTGTTCTTAAACTGTAAACCATTCCTGAATCTATAAAGGAATTGGTGTGTTGTGTTAAAAGTCTAGGTTGTCCAGGTGGGATAGCTTAGTGGGTAGATTGTTTTCTATTTAGGCTTGTTAAGCAATAGTGGACTATTTCTTAACTGTAAGATTGATAACTCTTTCTTACGTTTGGTGTAATCGTGTTTTACTTTTGCTTTTGAATATTAGTGAAAACGATTGAAAATCCTGTAAGACAGGTCGTGGTTTTACTCCCTTAAGCAAGGAGGTTTCCACGTAAAATCATCATGTTGATTTTACTGCATTTAACTTTCTTTTTATTCATTAGTGTAGTAAGGGACCTGGTCTATTACTTGTTAAGTGAAGGCATATATTCTATCAAGTGGTATCAGAGCAGGCACTTCCTATTTGGTTAACACCAAGGAAGTGATATTTGCTTTAGAATGGCAGCTCCACTTAACCTCGAAGAAGGTCAGTCATCACACAGACCTCCTCGTTTCAATGGACATTTCAACAGTTGGTGGAAAGTAAGAATGCATGACTACCTCATGGCTGAAGACAACGAGTTATGGGATATTGTACTGGATGGACCTTTTGTTCCGATGATGAAAGAAAAGGATGGAGAGAAGACCATTACTGTTCCAAAGCCTAGGCAGAAATACGATGAAGCTGACCGGAAAAAGATTGAAAAAGGTTTCAAAGCTAAAACTCTTCTTGTCTGTGGGATAGGACCTGATGAGTACAACAGAGTGTCAGCCTGTGAGTCTGCTAAAGAAATTTGGGGTTGCTTAAAGACTGCACATAAAGGAACTGAACAAGTCAAAGAATCTAAGATTGACATGCGTACTTCTCGATATGAGAACTTTAAAATGAAGGAAGGAGAAACAATACATGACCTGTTCACCAAGTTTTCTTCCATTACAAATGAGCTGCGAAGTCTGGGTGAACCTATAAGCATGACCAAACAAGTCAGAAAAGTGCTTCGAATTCTTCCAAAGTCTTGGGAGAGCAAAGTTGATGCCATTACAGAAGCCAAGGACTTGAAGGTGCTGACTATGGATGCTTTGATTGGTAATTTGAAAACACATGAGATGAATCGAAACTATGATTTGTCAAAGAAGGAAGCCAAGAAGGACAAGTCATTGATGCTGAAGTATAAATCAGATGAAGATTCAAGTGATGATGATGATATGGCATATCTCATCAGTAAATTTCAAAAAACTGTGAGGAAAAACTATGTTTATAAAAGAGGAACAAACGGTACTCGAAATGCTACTCAAGGTTATACTTGCTACAAGTGTGGAAAATCTGGGCACTTCATCAGAGAGTGTCCTTTGCTCAAGAATGAAAACAAGGAACATAAAAAACACAGGAGTGACAAAGAAAATAGAAGGGACCTGGTACTTGGCAACAGAGATTGAAAAGTTGCTGCTGATATGGTTGTCAAAAAGGCTCTTGCTGCATGGGGAGATTCTTCAAGTGATTCAGAAGACCCTGATGAGCCAAAAGATATGTCCATGGTTGCTATGTATGAGGAGGAAACTGTCTTCAATGAAATGTTTGCTCTCATGGCTCACATAGAAAATGAAGAAGAGGACAATCAGGTAACTCTTCTAGATATGAAAAATGACGTGGATAAATATTCTCTTAAAAAATTGAGAACTTTGGCAAAAGTCATGATTGATTCTGTGATAGAGTTAACATCTGAAAGAGACACCATGAATGCTGAACTTGACAGTTTAACTGAAAACAAAGTTAAACTTGAAGAGAAAATGTCAAGAATGGTATCTTTAGAGTCAATTAACTCTGAACTTAAGAACCAGTTGAATCAGATTACTGAAGAAGCTGAAAAGCTGAATGGAATGTCAAATAGTCTGCAAGCTGAAATTCAAGAAAAATTGAAAAACTCTGAGAAAAACCTTGGTCTGTCACTTGAAAAGAGTAACAAATTAGAACATGATATTGTGAAACTTAAGGAAGAACGTGAAAAATCCCTTAAGTGGACCAAATCCTCAAAGTTATTGTCAAATACAACGAATCAGAGTAATTTCAATAAGAAAGGACTAGGAAGTCTGAACATAAGTCCTCCTTATAATCCTCACAGTAAGTATGTGTTTGTGTCTGACAATCTGTTGTGTCTTCATTGTGGAAAGAATGGACATTTGAAGGATGAGTGTGCTAGCTGGAGAAACTCCTGTGAAAGGTTCTCTAATTATGCTGAAAGGCAAAATGTACCAAAAGAGAGACCTGGTCCTCCAAAGCATGTTTCAACTCACAGATTTTCAAAGAAAAAATCTGTCCCTGCTCCTATGTCCTTTGTTAAAAAGTTTCAAAATCTATCATATTGGACCAGATACAATCTAATCACTCCTTTGTCTTCCTACTGGGAACTCAAGCTGAAATGGGTTCCCAAGCTTAACAAGTGATTTTTGGTGCAGGTGAGTGAAAGGAGCAGCAGTCAATGTTGGTATATGGATAGTGATTGCTCTAAGCATATGACTGGTGACGTAAAGAACTTCCTCTCACTCAAGACCCTTCAAGGAGGAGGTGTCTCATTTGGTGATGGCAAGAAGGAGTACATTTTGGGAGTTGTCAAAGTAGGAAGATCTCTTGAAGATTCAATTGACAATGTTTACCATGTGGATGGGTTGAAGTACAGCTTGTTGAGTGTGTCAGAAATCTGTGACAAAGGAAATGAGGTCAAATTCACTTCTGAGAAATGCACTGTGGTGAGTCTAACTACAAACAAGGTAATTCTCACTGCACACAGAAGTAAGAATATGTATGTGGCAAACTTAGAAACGTCTCATGGAGATGACCTAACATGTCTTAGTGCTCAGAATGAGAATACTGATCTTTGGCATCGTAGGCTGGGGCATGTAAGCTCATCTTTATTGAACAAACTAATTTCTAAGGACCTGGTCCGAGGTCTGCCCAAACTGAAGTTTGCTGAAAATAAAATTTGTGAAGCTTGTATTAAAGGAAAGCAGATCAGATCATCTTTTAAGCCCAAAAATCAAGTAACATCATCAAGAACACTAGAGCTGCTTCATATGGACTTGTGTGGACCCTTAAAGGTTCAAAGCAGAAATGGCAAGAAGTACATTTTGGTGATTGTTGATGATTACTCAAGATACACCTGGACGAGATTCTTGAGATCAAAGGTAGACACAGCTGAAGAGTTGGTGGTATTCTTCAAAATGATTCGAACCAAATTGAATCAAGTTATTTACAGCATTCGATCTGATCATGGCACAAAGTTTGAGAACTCAACACTGGATAGATTCTGCATGGAAAATGGTATGAGTCATAATTTTTCTACTCCAGGAACTCCTCAACAAAATGGAGTAGTGGAAAGAAAGAACAGGACCTTGGTGAACATTGCCAGAACTATGATTATTGAATCAAATCTTCCTCAAAGTTTTTGGGTTGAAGCTGTTAACACAGCATGTCATGTTACCAACACGTGTCTAATAAGAGCTATTTTGAACAAGACTCCTTATGAGCTGCTCAACAACAGAAAGCCAATGCTGAGCTATCTTAGAGCATTTGGGTGCAAATGTTTTGTGCTGAATAATGGAAAGGATGATCTGGGAAAATTTGATCCCAGAAGTGATGAAGGAGTGTTTGTTGGATATTCTTCATCCAGTAAGGCTTACAGAATATTTAAAAAAAGAACTCAATGCATTGAAGAAAGCATTCATGTTATATTTGATGAAGATGGAAGCTTGAAGAATGATGGATCAAATGATGATGATGATGTGATGAAAATGCTCAAATCAAAGAAGTCTGAAGGAGGTGAAGTTGATGCAGATCAACAAGTGAACAATGGTTGTGATGATCAGAATCATAGTCTACCTGATGAGGCTGCTGAGGGTGAAAAGGATGATATGGTACCTGGTACTACTCAAAATTCCAGCCAGAGTACTTCAGACTCCCCAGAAGATGATGTCACTCTTGATGAAGAAGAACATGCAGATCAGCCAAGTCAGTCTGCTCCAAGGTCAGGATGGAAGCATAGCTCATCACATCCTCTTGATAATCTCATTTCTCCTTTGAATTCTGGAATTCATACTAGATCAAAAACAAGAAATCTAGTTGCATTCTCAGCATTCATACCATCTATTGAGCCCAAGAATGTTAAAGAAGCATTGAGTGATGCAGACTGGATAAATTCTATGCAAGAAGAACTCCATCAGTTTGAAAGAAGTAAGGTATGGTACCTGGTTCCTTGACCTGAAGGCAGAACAGTAATTGGAACTAGGTGGGTTTTCAGAAACAAGCTTGATGAAAATGGAGTGATTACTAGAAATAAATCCAGGTTGGTGGCGCAAGGATACAATCAAGAAGAAGGAATAGACTATGATGAGACTTTTGCACCTGTTGCCAGAATGGAAGCTATTAGAATCTTAATAGCTTTTGCTGCATTCATGGGGTTCAAGCTGTACCAAACGGATGCGAAGAGTGCATATCTGAATAAAGATCCCTTTTTGTGCCTTCTGTAGGTATACTTTCAGTGAGGACCTGCTTAACAAGAGAAGCAACTAGAACAACTGAGGAATGAAGTTTAACTGTCCTATGGTACCTGGTGCCTGTCCAGGTTAGCATTTATACATTAAATTGAAACTGAAATAATATGACCGTTGATAATGCCACGTGTCAGCCATCGGTTATTCTGACTGATCAGTCCCATCGTTTCTTTCTCAAATGACGCATCCAATCACGGACCTGGCACCTTTTTACTTTCTTTAAATATCATTACTTCTTCTTGAAACTCTCATCTGTCTCTTAATTTCTTCTTACTGTTCACGAAGGGTTTTTGCAAAAACTTGAAAGGCAAATTTCGTCTTCTTTTTCTTCTCTTCGCTGATTCAAGCAAAATACTTCCTAGTGTGAAAACCATGTCTTCTGCTTCATCCTCTTCCAAACAAATGTTGAATGCTCTCAGTGAAATCGAGCCTCTTGCTTTCTATTCTCTAACCAATACACAAGCCAGACCTCCTCTTTCTCCCAGTCCTCACCAAGACACTCCTGATAACCCTTTTTTTGCCATAGATCTAAATACTTCTGCAGTGCCTACTGGACCTGGTCCTTTTCAAGACATGTTGCCTGACAATATGTTTGAAGGGTATCTACCAAAACATAGGGCTTCCAAGTCCAACATACTGGCAGCGAGTGAAGAACTCGTGGTTGAAAGCCTGGCCATGATGCGAGAAGAAGCAAGGGCAGAGCATACTGAAGTCTTGGAAAGGGAAGAGGTAAGACCTACTCAACCTATCTTTGATAAAACCCCTGATTTAGGTAGGTACTCTTCTTCCTCTTCCTCTGACTCTGCTAGTGAGGAGGAGCCATTAAAATGGAAGGTTGATAGAAGAGAACGGGTGGGATCTAGAAAAGGGAAGGAAAAGGTTGTGGAGGAGGCCCCTAGGAGACGACCTACTAAAAGGTCTGCTGCACAAAAGTTGATGGTTGATGCCTTGAAGGCAAGTGCACGTTCTACTGCTGCAGTTAGAAGTGCAAGAACCTTCAATGTATCAAATTTTAAATTACCTGAAGCTAATGTGGTGGAGTTGTCTGAAGAAGAGGTGGACAAGAAAAATAAGAAGAAGAAGTCATAAAAGAAAAGGGAAAGGGTTACAAGGAAGGTTGAAAAGTCACAGTCAAAAGGGAAGAGATCTGAGAAAAAGAGAAAGCGGTCACAGGGACCTGGTTCCCAAGCCAGGAAAGTTGAGGGTGTCAACATGCAGGAGGTGGTTGACAGTCTGAGAAACCAAGCTGTTTTGGCAGGAAGAATTTTTGATATGGGGATCATAACTCTTCCTGGCATGGACTGTCTTCACGACATGGTTGAGATCCAATCTTGGTTACATTTGTTCAACAGGAAATCCCTCATTCTCCATGAAGAAGAAGTGCGTGAATTTTACTATAATATTCAATTCAAGGATGATGGGAGCATCCTCACACGAGTAAATAATATTGCTATATGTTTAGATGAGGGTGTGTTGAGCAAAATTCTCAGGGTGCCTAGAGAGGGCACCGGGTCTGTATTGGGTAGAACTTGCTCTTCTGAGTTTGCTGCTGTGATTTCTAAGACACCCACAACCAAGGTTGCTGGGATTTATAAGAAAATCATGAAGAGTGAGTATCAGTTGGTTTTTGAGTTCATCAACAAAGTTCTCCTTCCTCGCACTGAAAAGAGGACAGTAGAAACTGCTGCTGATTTGTTTGTGATGGAGATGTTGTGCAACTTCGACGCCTTGAACCTACCTGGTCTAATGCATGAGCATATCCACAAAACTGTCATTGAGAGGAAAGGTGTTCACGGAATGGGTTATGGATACTTTCTTACGGAGGTATTCAAGAATTTTCAAATTCCTCTTAGTGTGGGAAAAATGGGGACAGTTAAGCAGACTATCTCCGAAATTACCTTGGTTGAGTGTGAATGCATTGAAGGAAGAGGCTATCCAAAGAGCAAAATGGCCCAACTGATTGATGATCAGGAGCAGCTTAAGAATGAGGTTGAGGAGCTTACTGTGCAGTTAAGTGGTAAAGAGGCAGAGATTGCTATACTCAAAGCAGAACTGCTTACTGCACAAAGTGAGGGACCTGGTTCTTCAGTGGTTCAAGCTCTGGAGAAAGAGAATACTAAGTTGAAGGCGAAGATAACTGCCCTGCAAGAAAAGGCCATCAAAGACAATGATGCTGTCAATGCACGACTCACTCTTGTTATCCAATCCCTGTCTCATCCTCCTCCCTCTTCCGAGTTTGTTGAACCCCCCTTGTGTCAAATTTTTTTTGTGGCTTTTCAATGTGTTGAAGAATGTTCAGTTTGGTTCTAATGTATTTATGTTATTATGGCGTACTGGTTAATTCATTCCTGTGCTGTTCTAATTATCTCCTCTTGTGCATGCTTTTTCTTTACTGATTAGTTGCTTTTTAGCCTTGATCTTTTTCAGTGTTTCTGCTCACATCTCTGGTTTACTGCGTTTCTTTTTTATGATGCCAAAAGGGGGAAGTAAAACTGTGTAGTGCGTAGCTAAATGATATTTTAGTGAGGGGGAACATACAGTGAGGGGGAATATAAAAAGGGTGAACAAAGTTGGAGAGGATCTTAGATTATGACTTCAGTGTTTGTCATCATCAAAAAGGGGGAAAATGTTATTTGTAGTATTGATGATTAGACAAACTTGGGAACCTTGTAAAGGTACCAGTTTCTTAATTGACTATTGCAGGGTTCTTGCTTGAGTATTGTAGATGAAACAAACCCAGGGACCTAGTAGAGGTACCAGGCTCTCATGATGAGGAGCCAGTTGATTGCCAGCTGGAGACGGTACAGAAAGTAGGTGCACACTTCCCGATGGCGTCAGAAAGTGTGACTTTTCCAGCCAATGGCAAAGAGGTTTAGGAAAGTGACTTGCCCATATAAAAGGCACTTTTCTAAACATTTTGTGCAACTTTTGCAACTTGATAAAAAATTTTCAAGAACTCTTGCAAAGGCTACTACAAAGCAAAGGCGGAATTATTCCAAGAACAACAGCAATATCTGGAGCTTTTTGTCTAGTTGTTTAGGAATGCATTCTCTTGTTCTTAAACTGTAAACCATTCCTGAATCTACAAAGGAATTGGTGTGTTGTGTTAAAAGTCTAGGTTGTCCAGGTGGGATAGCTTAGTGGGTAGATTGTTTTCTACTTAGGCTTGTTAAGCAATAGTGGACTATTTCTTAACTGTAAGATTGATAACTCTTTCTTACGTTTGGTGTAATCGTGTTTTACTTTTGCTTTTGAAGATTAGTGAAAACGATTGAAAATCCTGTGAGACAGGTCGTGGTTTTACTCCCTTAAGCAAGGAGGTTTTCACGTAAAATCATCGTGTTGATTTTACTGCATTTAACTTTCTTTTTATTCATTAGTGTAGTAAGGGGCCTGGTCCATTACTTGTTAAGTGAAGGTATATATTCTATCAGAAACTTTATTTAATTAACTATGTCTAATTTTCTTAATAGAAGCTCTTTCTTCAATTTGCATCTTGTGGTGGGAAGACAAGTGATATTTTCTTAATAGCCTATCAATTAGTGATGACATAAAGTCCTAATCATAGTGCAATGAAAAATATTTAGTGTTACACATTATTGGTCAAACCCGATACAGTTTTTGAAAATATACTCTAAGTTGGAAACTTTAGCTAAACATGAAAGGACATAATAGTGATCGAAAGAAATTTTTCACGCGGAAAAAAGAAAATTAATCGCAATTTGATCAACATATTGAAGTCATTTATCTTTTATATATGTTCTTATCACTACGCATGATTAAGTAATTTGTATTTTCACTTTAATTTCTATTCTCACTTTAATTTTTACCTATCAAAATTAATATAAATATCGAATACAAATAAATTAATATTTCAGATTTTATATCCTTAGTCATCCGGCTAACCCTTGTTTGTCCAAAATTGTATATAATGTGAATAAGAGGTTGAAATTGAGAAATTAACAAGGGAAAGAAAAGAGAAGAAGTAGAGGGAAAGAATGGGGAGACGAGGGAGGATGATTTAGGAAACTAATGGTAAAATAAAAAGTTTAATATTATATTTTAAGTGGGACGAGTCGTTAAATGGTTTAAATGAATATATTTTTGGTTTTTAAAATTTTGGTTAAAAATTAAAATTTCATGTCAGTAAATTTTAATAAAAAAATAATTAATATGTTGAATGACTTTTTGTGAAAAAAAATCGTAATTAAATGACTTTTGAATTAAAAACGAAAGTTGAGTATCACCAAAAGAATGGAAAGTGCATCAAATTAAGTAAATAACTTTAATTTGTAAGATAGGTCACTTGCATTATTTATCTTTTTTCAACCTCTCGATTTTTAGTTGACAAACTCGAGCTTTCAGATCAAATTGTGGTTAAAGGTATGTAATTTGAGTTGGTTTCATATATTTATACATGATTATACGAAGTATATACATTATATATACATATACAATATAGATAATGTATATACAATGTATTATATTTTTTTTTTAAAAATGAAATATATATATATATAAAAAAAGGAGAAAAATGAAGAGGGTCAAAAAAAATCAAAGGATGAGGTTAAAAATAACTTTAAAATTGATTTGGCTTCGTAAAATTTAACGTCACCATATACATTCTTTGTTCATTTTTAATCGTCTACTATTCTAAAAATAATTTTTCACTTTTAACATAGCAATAGTAATCTGAGAAAATTTGAAGACTTCCGTCTAATTAAGGCACTTTCGAGCTGTCAAGACTAGCAATCCGTTTCTTTATCTAAGTAAGTAAGATAGGTCTAAGCTCAAGTAAGCAAGATAGGTTTAAGCTCAACCAAAAGAAGATTTACTTGCTCAAGACTCGAAAAAATATATATTTTATTCTATTATTAATATTAATTACTTATTCAGCAAAACATTTCTCAAGACCTAATCAGATTATACATCAATTAATATTAGTATTATGATAAAATACTCGTATTAATCCTTAATTCTTACATTGTGGTTGATATATTCTTTTTCAAAGAAAAACCA